TGTTGTGTTGGATTTTGCTTTGAAATTAAAAATGTCATGAGGTTTTAATAAAAGAGAGACATTGACACGTTCTTCTTAAGTTAATAGAATTAAAATATTAACAATCTTTATAAAAACTTGTGGTGTCTGTTTCAAAATATTTTTGGACAAATAGTAAAAAATAACAAAAGTTGTGAGATTGGTTTCAAGGTTGATCAATGAGGTACATGGTTCTGTTCTGTAAAATAAATATGCGTGAACATCTTTCGTACCTGGTGGCTGCTGCGTTGTTCCCTTTGTGGGCCGTGCGACAGTGTGTGGAGTGACAGCTGGCTCAGTGTGACGGAGAACGGCTGTTTCAGCTCCAGCTTGGTCTCGTTAATCTCCTCCGACCGACTCCAAGAGCTGAGAGCTCGGATCTGTGGTTCACAACCAGATAAGACAGAACAGAAAACCGAACAGATGCTCACACTTAACGTTTAATAAAGAGCAGGGATTCTTCAGAAACAAAATAAAGGTGTGTTTCCATGAAATGTTTCAGATATCTAAATCATCACAGCTGCAGCTTAGTAGTGTGGTCAGGGATGTGTTTACAGATCAGGGATATATTTCTGCTGTACAGTTCTAAAGTTTCCTGCATATTTCTCTCTTTCTTTCTTTGCTCAATCTGAACTCCTGATCAATATTACTGAATGGCAATCATCCCAGTTTATCATGGTCATAGCACTGTTTGTAGACTCTGACCTGCTCCACTCGCCCATGCCTCATCCAGCCCAGTGACACACTGTCTAGTCGGCTCTGTAGAGAGCGCTCCTGTGTCACCTCCAAACTGGTCCAGCGTGGGATGCATTTGATCTGAACTAAGATCAACGACAAATTTACATGACATGAACAATCTGTGTCCATCTTAAATCTGAGATAAGGTTTATAACAGTTCACGAGCTGTTCACTCATTGAATAGTGTGAAATGGTTTACCCTTCAGCGTCTGGTTCCCCAACTCTGCTGGAGGAGCAGAGTACAGACCAGACAGGCTGAACTCCTGATTCCCCCACACAGCTCCATGTTGAACCTGGTAGCTCCAGTTTCTTGCTTCATAGACTGTCCTCACTGCTACAGTCCTGGGGAACGGCTTCAACTACGAGAACAAAGACCAATCACATAAACATTTACTATGTCAAGGATTAGATATGCATATGGATTTGGTGGAGGTATCTTTATTGGTTGTTTTAAGTTTGTGTGATCTTTGACACCAGGATCATGGAGCTGCTTGTCTAAAATGACCTGTGGGTAAGAGTGTTTGAGCTCCAGAGTCTGTCTGTATCCGCTCTCAATTGCTGCCAGTTCCCCCAGAGCCCACAGCCTCCTCCTGCCCGACAACACCTCCAACAGACCTGACACACTGGACTCAGACTGGTTTAGCTGGAGACAGAGGAGAGGGATGCTGATATTTTATACGTATATGTCATGATAATAAACCAAAAAACTTCACAAATGCACATAGGAACAGACACAGACTAACAAGTTATGTTGCTTCATTCTGTTTATAAAATGTATTTAATAATAAACTATTTAATACGTCTGATAAATTAAACCCACCTGAGAGCGAACATTGAGCTGAGAGGGAAGGTACACCAATAGCTTGGGGATATTCTGGACGACCTTCACCATCAGGTCCTTGCTAGACAAGAGAACATATTTTACTTAAAGAAGTGCGTGTGTGTGTGTGTGTGTGTGTGTGTGTGTGTGTGTGTGTGTGTGTGTGTGTGTGTGTGTGTGT